CCTACACGAGAACAAGACTCATGCTAGTCAACAGGAAGGTGAGTGGCTATGTAGAACAGAGCCAAGTAGTCTCGGAAGCTAATCTAGACTAGCTGACAGTCAGCTGACTCCCAGCACATGAGTGAGCCCAACCAATCTACAGACTTGTGAACAAAATAAATGCTTATTACTATATGCCACTAAAGTTTTGTGGGTGCTTGTAATGTAATATATGGAATGCAGTAGATAACAGAAACAGGGACTGAAGCTAACCATAGGGTTTAAGCAGAGGTGTCACATGGCCAAATGTTTTTTTTTTTTTTAAAGACTGTGCTAATGAATGGACAATAGACCTGGAGATCAACAATGGAAGCAAAAACATTTAAGAAAGAAACCACAAAGTTGGAATTAATGCCAAAAGGAATAGAAAGGAAGAAACATCTGAAACGCAGTACTGAGTGCTAGAACCGGTGGAACTTTAGGCCCTAATTAGATACCCTCAATGAAGAAGAGGGAGGATTTCAGGATGAACTGTAGGCTTCTTGCAAGAATAATTACAAATACAACTAACTCAGATTTAAAATAGTTTAAGAGAAATCAGATATGTATTCTTTTAAGATCTGTCTTTATTTTTGTTGAGGATAAAAATAATCATTTCAGAAAATGGTACTTTAATATTGAAAAGGCAAAGGCCATTTTCACAGGGATAATAAATAGAAATCAGAATTTTAAGATCTCTTTAAAAAGATAAAAACTACCCAAATGATTAACAAAGGAACACACCAAGTAAACAAGAATCTAATTTCCTAAGATTAAAGACATAGCACCAGATTTAAAAAAATGGCCTTCCTAGATTAAAATCAGTGGTTTTGAATTAGGTCTTTTCCTCCCCTTTTCATTTGCTGCTACTACTGTTTTGTTTTAGTTTATTTTTCACCTTGTAATCTGAAATTGCTTAGAGGGAAAAGTACAATAAAAAATTCTATAATGATTAAAAAAATAATATATGAATATGTGCTTTATATCAGGGTATAATTAATTATGCACTTATATAATTAAAAAAATTAAATAAAAGAATGCTGTAAATCCAAGACATCCTATTCACTATGGAAAAGCTTTATGTATATATGTATCAATAGACAGACTCACACATGAATACATACATACAAGTTTAGTTAAAAATAAAATATACATCATTTGTGAAAACTGATAAGATTGTCAAATAGTGAGGGGCCAAAATAGTAAGATAGTGAGGAACCAAAAGCACATTTTTCCAGAGGAAATAAAAATAAGATAAATGTTCAAAATAAGAGTAGAGGTGACAAGAACATAAGAAAAATAATAGTTACAGTTACATTTTAACTAAAGTGGTTAAAAACTAAATTATATTAGATACCCATTTCTATTTATCTCTATAAAATAGATTTGTTCATGTACCAATAGTTGAAGAACCAGGTATAGAAGGTGGAATGCAAGAATACTTAAACCAAACTTGTCACCACAAATTCTTCTGCTATCACTGCTGATAGACATTTACAAAGAATACAAATCATTCAGAAAAAGAAGTGTACGAGCACACCCCTATCGTAATACAGATGGATGAAAAGTCTGAGAACTTGCCTCTTTCTCAGTGTCTCTAGAGATACATGTCCATTGGTTCTCTTTCACACTGTACGCCCAGAAGTCAGCAAGATCTTGTGTTCCATCCCAGCCACCAAACAAATAAACAGTCTCTGTGAAAATTAGAAAAATATGTGCAAAAAAAATAAACAAGAACAAAATTTAAGTATAGGCACCAAGATCAAGCCATTGCTTCTAAGATCATTTAAGAAGGTACATCTAAGTAAACTTTAAAATGAGATTTTTAAACTGGTTAACATTCCAAAATAAATACTAGCATTTCCTAAATATAGGCATACGGAAGGGCTGCTGCAGAACCACTATTTTGAGAGATTTATAAATACAAAGATAACTAGGAGGCATCCCCTAAGATTCAGATTGCATAGGTCCTCAGTGGGTAAAAAGAGTCAGTACTTTTAAAGTGTCCAGGGGGAATCCTGATGTGCAGCCAGTTTAGGAGTTTCTGTGTCAGGCCACAAAACATTTACATTTACCAGCTTCTTAACAAAGCAGCTTCAGATAGTTAAAAAAAAAAGGGGGGCTTCCCTGGTGACACAGTGGTTGAGAGTCCGCCTGCCGATGCAGGGGACACGGGTTCGTGCCCCGGTCCAGGAAGATCCCTCATGCTGCGGAGCGGCTAGGCCCATGAGCCTGCGCGTCCAGAGCCTGTGCTCCGCAGCAGGAGAGGCCACAACGATGAGAGGCCCGCGTACGGCCAAAAAAAAAAAAAAAGGGAAAAGAAAAAAAAAAGAAATCCCAAAGAAATATACAGTGCAAAATATAACATAAAGCTATCTAGCTACTTCTGAAAAAACTTCACATTAAAACTGTTTCCTATTACAATACAAAAAACAATGGTTAGGGCTTCCCTGGTAGTGCAGTGGTTGAGAGTCTGCCTGCCAATGTAGGGGACACGGGTTCGTGCCCCAGTCTGGGAAGATCCCACATGCTGCGGAGCGGCTAGGCCCGTGAGCCATGGCCGCTGAGCCTGTGCGTCCAGAGCCTGTGCTCTGCAACGGGAGAGGCCACAACAGCGAGAGGCCCGCGTACCGCAAAAAAACAAAAACAAAAACAAAAACGAAAACAAAACAAACAAAAAAAACAATGATTAAAACTAGCTGTGAGTTAAAGTTAGATATCTTAAGAATAAAGTGATGCATAGCCTTGATATTCCCATGGAAACTGGGGGAAATTTTTCCAAATATATTATGCTAGATTTAACTCCTCAGAAATCAACTTTTAAGTCATTCTAGGTATCTTGAGGATTTGGTTTCTTCTAATTCTGAAATGTCTATTATACCTATGGACTTTATCATGTGATAAAACATTTCTTGCTCAGTGACCAGTGAAAATTTTTACCTTTCTTTATAAAATAATAGTGCCTTTCCTTTCTTCAAATATTTCTTCCCTTTGTAAATATCTTATGTCTACTTGTTATACATGCCTACCATTTTTTTAAGTTAAATATAATACATTACAGGAAAACTATAAAGCCATCTACACTCTCTGACATGCCCTAGGCCAATATATGCAGAGACTGTCATCTAAATTACAACCCATCATGAAGGGTTGAAATGCACCTGGAAATACTGTAACACTACTTAAGAAAATTCTTGCCATTCAGAGATGTCTTATAAGAGATTTTTGTCATATTTTCATATAATTTCAAACTCTAAGTGAATTTTCTAAGTGAAAGAACCTAGGGGAAATTAAAACAATGCTTCCAGATAAGAACAGACCACTGGAACAGTTCTAGTGCTAACTGGGAAATCAGGTATAGGTCACTTAACTTGCCTGGGTCCTGATTTTTTCATTTACAAACTCTCAGTGTGGTGGTAAAGTTCTTCATATATAAGTTACATGAAAACATTCTGAAGGCTGTCAAGCATGAACAGCATTTCTACCTTTAAAACATGCACATATACACAAAATACTTTGTAGTTACTAAGTACCATTGATGCAATAAAAACAGTATTATTGTATATTTCCATGTCTAACCCAGTACCTAGAACACTTTGGGCTCTATATAAATGTGAAATAATGGAAACTATTAGAAAACTGCCATCTCTCAGAAGTATAAAACAATCCATTATCATTAGTTAAGTAACATTCTGTTTCCCAAATGGCACACAGTAATGCCCAGATACTGAGAATTCTACAGGAAAAAAATTAAAGAATTTTCATCTGACTTAAAAATTATTTGCCAAGCCCTCACTATAAATGCAATTAACCCCATTAAATTCTGAAGCCTGGAGAGGGAGGGGGTATATAAGTAAAATAGCAATAGCAATTGACCTTTTGTTTTACAGTGTTTCTGGGCACCCTTTGGATAAGGTTACCCTGGTTCACTAACTTTAATAACCCTTCCTCTTGGGATCTGGGTTCTCAATGTTCTTTCTGAAAAGCAGGTCTCTTTGTACGCATAAATTCTCACAGCAAAGAAAACCCACATTTCCACAACAGCCTCATTGATAGCTGAGCAAAATAAAATCTGGCACAGAGCAAGCATCCCAATGGAATTAATCCAAGATGTCATTCTTGTTCGTGAATGCTTTGTGGTCCCAGTTAAATAGTAAAACTGAATGAATCAGATGGTAACAGGACCCTTTGACATACCTGAATGAAATGTATAACAAAATTTTAATTAAATCATCTAATCATTTAAGTTAAATCATTCAGGAATGAAATATTATCCAAACACCAGCAAAAATATTATTTAATGCATAAAGGATATCAAAAACTTTTAAAGATTATAGAAATAATCAGACAAAACTGTAGTGAGAAGAAAGTAGAAAAAAGAAAATGCTATTATTTGCAACATGGCAGTAGCTTGGTTTACGATGTCCACTCTCATGCTTATAGGTTATATAACAATTCATGCACATCCCTAGGGCAGTACAATCCTCCTCATGCAGCAGCCCTTTCTCTGTATTTTTTCTTAAAGGAGCACAAGCTACAGAGGCTATTTCTCCCAGACTCACTGAAATGTTCACTCAACATTTTTTGAGTACTAATCTGAATTGGCAAGGCACTTTAGAGAATAAAAATAAAAAGAAGACATCATCCCTACCCTCAAGGAGCTTACAATTTAGTGAAGAATATAAAACAAGTACATTAATCACCATAATGCAATGTAGACTAAGTGCCGTAAGAAAGGTAAAAAAGCACCACGGGGGTTCAAAAAAGGGAAGAGAATATACCAGATTGAGGGGGACTCAGGAAGATTTCATGGTGACAGTGGTATCTGACCTATGCATCAGAAAGTGGCTTTGCTGGTAGAATGAAGGAAAGAGAAGAGGACTTTTCAAGCAGGGTAAAAAGTAACACAAGGGTACAGAGACAGAAAAACACACAAAAAGTGTTTTAAAAGACACAGAATCTAAAGTCAGGCAGATCTTGGATGGAACTGCAGCTCTATCACCACAGCTGTGTGACCAACACCAAATTCCTTAACCACTGGTTTCCTCAGCTCTAAAATGGCACAGAGTACCTATCTCCTAAAGCTACCATGAGAATTAAATAATGCATGCACAGTGGTGAAAACTGTGTGGTGAATAAACACACTGTTCATTTTAAAAGGACAAAAAAAAAGTAGTGGAGTGGAGGTAAGTTAAAAAGACAGGTAGTGGCCACATCATGAAATGGGTTAAATGACAATATAAAGGTTTTGAACTCGACTCCACAGACTGTACAGTATTAAATAGCAACAGAAGATTTTAAGCAGAGATGTGACATGGTCAGATCTGAACTTGCAGCATATAGGACTTACTGAAAAGGAGGAGCCAGGGAAACAGAAAGATCGGAAATAAAGTGACCAATAATAGCCTGTGTTCAAGATATCAACCCAATTTCATTCTCAGAGACTAAATGAATCAATCACCAATCAATCAATCAGTTATTACTCAGGCCACAAAAGCTAAAATGCAACCAGTCTTTTTTACAGGTCTTTTTTCGTATCAGTACTAAATAACCCCTACAACTACTTACTACCAATAGTACTAATCTATAAATCTTATATACACTAAGAAAAAGGTAGAAATGTTAACACATCAGTATCTTCACACCATTTTGCACAAAGAAGCAGGCTTTTTATTTTATGAGCCCAACTGCAATATCTATCCTCCTCCTCTGATTCTTAGGGGTAAATCAGACTATGCTGATTGCATAATCCTCCACAAGATGGCACACTATTTTCATAATTAAATCCATCTTTCCACTTTGAAATAGTATAGAATGCATATACTATGCACTGACATAACATGGGCCCAACCTTAGATAAAATTCAAGTGTCAAAAAGAAGAGGTAGGTGGAGGGTTACTAGGCTTGTAAAAGAGGTTAGCTTAATTCCTAGTTTAATGCAGACACTAAGAGAAAAACAAATGAAATTAAAAAAAAAACTTTTAAGAAACACAAATTTATATTCAAAACAAAAATGAACCCTGTCAGGACATTTAGTTTAAGAGTTTAATCCTTCTGAAAGTGTAGTTCATAGGACATTAGATTGACATTAGAATTTCTGAAGGGAAGAATAAGTTAGAAGGGGAAAGATATTTTATGTGCTCTTTAACCTTACCTTCTTTAGCCATTGCCTTGAACTCTCAAAACCCAGCAGATTATCAACTGGATTCATCTGTCTCTCTTTTTAAAAAGAGCTATATTTCTTTCTTTCTTTTTTAATTGGTGAATTTTTGTGTAGCCTTTTTTTTTTTTAGTTAATTTATTTATTTTTGGCTGCGTTGGGTCTTTGTTGCTGCGCGCGGGCTTTCTCTAGTTGCCCTGAGCGGGGGCTACTCTTCCTTGCAGCGCACGTGCTTCTCATCGCCGTGGCTTCTCTTGTTGCAGAGCACGGGCTCTAGGCGTGAGGCACTCAGGCTCAGTAGTTGTGGCTCATGGGCTCTAGAGCGCAGGCTCAGTAGTTGTAGCACACGGGCTTAGATGCTCCGTGGCATGTGCGATCTTCCTGGACCAGGGCTCGAACTTGTGTCCCCTGTATTGGCAGGCGTATTCTTAACCACTGTGCCACCAGGGAAGTCCCGAGAGCTATATTTCTTACATAAGGCTATGATTACAAAACTAGAGACTGATCTTTTGGGTGAATTCAACATATGGTTGT